CATATTTTTGATCTTAAATATATACATCTTAAAAATAATATTCAATAACATAGTATTTATCAATATTCAATTATTAAAGAACTTAATAATCCTTTTGATGATTTGTTATATGAATAGTGTATTTATTGTGGATTGGAATTTGATGAAAATATAGAAGAAAATAAATTGGATGTTTATTGAAATAATTTAGTAATGCATTTACCAATTCTTTTTCAAGTAGCATTAAATTATATTTGGTTATCTATATTAAGTTATGCTATGATGCGTAGTTTTTCTTTATATAATACTTTCCTAAATAATAATCATTAAAACTTATCAAAAGAATCATTTAAATAACTAAATATGATGTATTTTAATCAGGATGATTAAATTTAATTTTTTTTTATTAATTATAAATAAAATTGTAATAAAAAATTTTCACATAATATTACAAAATATTATAAAAAATGTCACAAAATCACACAAAATCAATAAAAATTAGATCACAACACAACACAAAATTGATTTACATCACATATAAAATTTACTTTATATCATCATAATAAAACATCATCTCTAGTTAATCAAATAAAATGACAGCTTTATTAAAATGACTGACTTAGATAATTATTAAATTCATTGATAAGAAATATAAAGAGCAAGATGTTATGATAAAATTATATATATATATATATATATACTGCAAGATATGTTTTTTATTAAAATATTTTATATGATGTATGTTAATAAATAATGTTTTCTCTGGATGAGAAATCAGATAATATAAATATATATAATCACATATTTGAAATAAGAAAAAAATATTTACATATTTTGACAGAATTGATTTGGCATTCAAACTGGATAGGGTGTTTGAAATTTTTTATGTATTTAATAAGATAAAGAGTTTTGTTTCATTTAATAAAATAATAACTTTCTACTATAAAAAATTTTTGACTAATGAAAAAACTAATATCATTACTAAGACTATATAGAAAAAAATAAAAGGAACTAAGAATCAAAACAAGAATAAAATTTAATTATTTGAAAATTAGAGCAAGAGAAAAATTATTTATTTTATTCTTAATTTATTGAGTCCTTTTTGTTTATAGATTAGTTCATTTTGATTAATAGTAATTTTTCATTCAAATACTTTGATTTCTCTTGTCAAGTTATGTGATATAAAAATTGCATAATATATTTATATTATTTTTGATTATTTTTGATATATACCATATATTGATATTTTATAATGCACAGTCACATATACATTACTGGTTAAAAAGATGCAATGCAGAATCTTTGCAAAAAGCTTGAAGTGTATAAATTTAACAAATTTATTAAAAGTACATTACTTTGTGAATGTGCAAAACTTTAATACTGATATATATGTAATTAACTTTTTGAGTAATTTTTTAGAATAATAAAAGAATAATTTTTTTACATGATTAAAAGTACAATATTTTCTAAAGTATATTGATGTAACTTTTCTGTTAGATCTCATGTTGATAAGTTTTGAATCTCTTCACTTAAACCCTTGTAATCAATTAAAGACATTATTGTTTCTTAAGAATATATAGGAGTTCCTAATAGATTTATAATGTGAGATATTATTTAAAATTTTGTAACTGACCAAATCACAGTCTATGCTTGAGGCATCATTTTACCATGAGTAAATTGCTTAAGTTCATATCCAATTTGACCAATTGTTCTTAAAATAGACTAATCATAGTTTTAAGGTCTAATAAATTTTTAGGTCTTTACTATATCTATTTGCTCTAACACATTCTGTCTTTCAACCTTTGCAAAAACTTTGTAGCCTTTATTTTAAAAAGAATAGTATGATAATCATTATAGCTCCTGTATCGATAACTATACACCATTATTATCAGTACTTAACATTCTTGCTTTGCTTAAAACATCTACTGTATTTTGAAGACAGATATGTACCTAACATATTTTATTTTGGTAAAAGCAATATCTCATTTTTAGATTATTAGCAGATATCATTCTTATTATAAAGTATATCTAAATAATATTTATCAATGCTCTAATATGTATAAATTATAATTATAAATACATCTGCCATTTATTCTGATATTAGTAGAAAATCTGCGCAAATAGAACAGTCTTTATAGTGATAGATGCAAAGTACTTTTCTGGATATTTTTTCTTAAGCACTTCATAGTCTTCTGATGATATATCTTTTTCATAATACTTTAATACTTTTTCATGAACGATTAATACATACGATCCTTTTAGCTTATCTTCAAAAGTTCTAGATTCAATTAGATAATGATATACGAGAGTATTTGTTGCAATCTCTGCTCTAACATCTTTCCATTCAGGATCAACAATGAAATCAAATATTTCACAGTGATCATTTTCATTCATTATAGATGACTAATGAAGTCAGAGCTAGCAAAATCTAAACAAGAATACATTAGTAAAAATGTAATCAAACTAAAACAGATTTGTTATTTACCATAAAATTTTCTTAAGTCATTTTTATTTTTTGCAAAATTGAAACCTAGTTTTTTTGCAAAGCTTTTGAGATTACTTTTCACTTCAGGTTTTAAAGTATCAGCAGGCATTTTAAATTTAAACATACTATTTAGGTTAAGTGTATCTTTCAGATTCATAATAAGACTTTCATACAAGTAACTTATTACAGACGAGTTTTAGACATTTTAACACTATAGATGAGTGGTATGTTAACACTCAGAAAATTAATATAATTCTAAAAACTGAAAAAATAAAGTAAAAACCTTTTTTTCAAATTTTATATAACAAGTTTTTCCTTTGAAAAATTATAAAAAATAAATCCATTTTAAATCCTTAAGTAACAGGAGTAAATTACGTGATCTTACACGTATTTCTAAAAAGGAAATATGCCAAGAAGCATTTTTCTTTTTAGAGATTTGTGTAATGATACTTTTCATAGGAAGATATTCATGTGATTGGCTAATTAGGTTACATATATTTTATAATTGATTATAAATATTTAAATATGTTACGTGATATTATTAACGTAATATTAGATTATAAATTATACTAATAATTAAAGTTAAAAGTTAATTTTGAATATTAAGTATAAAATAAAATTTTTGATTAATTAATTATGCTATCTAAACTATACTAAGTGAATTACATTTTTCAATAAAAATAATTTTTAATAATAAAATAAAATAATTTATATATTTATTATAACATTTGAAATTTAATTTTAAATTTTATAGTTTATATAATTTATTTATTTTTGCAATTTTTTAAATTTTTTTTATATTCTTTAAGATAAGCTCTATTAAATTATCAGTCAGTTTTTCAAAATAAGTTTTATATAAAAAGTTATAGGCATTTAAAATTGGATAATTTTTATGACTTTCTGAATTTAAAACATATATTATTGATTGAAATTTATGATAATTCAAGTTGATATTATAGTAATTAATTATAATATCAGCCTGAATTATTATAATTTTAAAATAATATACAAAAAAAAAAATGATTAATATCTTATTTTCATTGATCAATTACTAATCATGTGATATAAAATCCACAAAAAATTTTGAAATATTGTTGAGTTAAGACTTCTGACACTATATAAATAATTTTAAATTTTTAAATTAATGTAAAATCAGAAATTAAAGTTAACGTTAAATAAAGCTGACTAATTAATATTTTATAAATATTATTATGATTGAAATTTTTATAAAGTTTTTTTTTAATGTAAATGATTTATATTTTACTGATTCATTTTTATTATTATTATCACAAAGAATAAAATTATCATCTTTTTTAACTTGTACTTTATTGAATTATTGTAATTGTATTAATAAGAATTAAATATGTTTATTAATATTATTTTGTAAAAATGAAAGTAATATGAATACTCTATTATTATTATAGCAAATTTTATAATAAGTATGATTGCAAATTAAAATCATAATCAAACTTATATACTACTCTACAATAAATTACTGAATTTTATAAATTTTACTTAGTAATATATAATAAAATTGATTATTAGTTATTTATTTTATATATTTGTAATAATTATGAATATTGAAAAATTAAAGTTCATTTTTTTTATAAGTAATGAAGATAGTTATATGCTTATAAAAAGCTTAAAAATAATTATACAATTTGTATATTACTAAATTTTAAAATAATTTTTTTTAAATCAAAGTAACTATAAAATTTAATAACATTAAAATAGCTTTTCTGTGTCTTAAAATGAATATAAACATATTGTATAATACATAATGATCGGGTGTTAATCTTAATGATTATAAATTTGCAAATATGTAATGAAGTATAGAATATCAAAAAATTAAATATATTAAATATATTTAACATATTTAATATAATTGATATATTAAAATATATATAATAAAATAAATATAAACACAAGCACTTTATAAGTTATAAAAGACAGATCAATGACTATATAAAAACTTTTTTGATTAAAGATAATGTAATGCTACTCTTCGATTTTATGTATTTCTCTTGTTTATTTTCTTTTCTTATATTTTATTATTTCTTATTTTCTTCTTATTTTCTTTTTATTCAATAAAGTATTGCTTATAGTTTTTATTGTAAAAATTCTTTATGACTACTATAAAAATCTTAACTTATGATTAAAAGTTGCTTATATTTAGTAAACTCTATAAATTTAGTAAAACTAATAGTAAGACAATTGAGATTAATTTAAAATTTAAACATAAAAAGTTCTTTTTAATACTGTGTCTAATAGTTACAATTTGAAAAGATTATACATTAATATTTAATAATAACAATAGGATATTTTTTCTATTTACATAGCATCTTATAACTAAAACAACTAGCTGATATATTTTCATAAATATATTTCATATATTTGATGATTTCTTAAAATATCAAAAAATTCATTATTAACTGCATACTAAAATTAACTAAAATATTAGAAATACAAAATCACTTTCAAAAGATTCTTCTTATCTTACTTGTAACTCTAATACTAATTTTTTTGAACTCTTAAAAGTATTTCAAACTTTCTTTAACTAGGCTATTAATAAAATTGAATATAACAATATACAGATAAAAGCATAATTACATTTGAACAAGCTATTATTGCTCTAACTAATAATTCTTAATGAGTATATTTTTAACAAGCATTTTGCTTCTTATATTATAGTAGATTACTTTTTATCATTTTAAACTAAGTTATTGAATTATGTATTGAAGATTTAAAGAAGAATTGCTATCAGAAGACCATAAAAATAATGAATTCAAAACTATTATTCCTGTATAAATTAATTCTAATGTTAAACAACTTTCTGATCTACCTTTATTCTTTTTATTGAAGTAATAAATAATGTAATTATCAATACTTATGTATAAAATTTTTCTTTAAAGTATTTTATAGAATGCTATATTATAATTTTTCATTATATTTTAAACTAATAAAATATACTAGAAAATAGGAATCATTATTAAGTCTAAAACGATCTTAATTAAAAAATATTGCAAAAGCTGATCAACTTCAACTCAATTATTAAGTGAGCAGATATTTAGATATTTTTATTACTTTATGTTGTATTATATAGTCCTATGCTAATATTCCAAACTACAATAAAAAATCTAAAAAAAATTATAATATAAATTATATATAATTATTATTAAATTATTATTATATTTATTATATTTATTATTTCTTATTATAACAAATTATTTTTTTAACTTATAATTCTATATAAATTTTATTAATAAAATATCTAATAAAGTATTTAAAATCATTGTAAATTATATAAAACCTAAGAATATTTTGTGATATAAATATAATTATTTGATATATTATGTAAACTTTAAAAATTAATCTTAAACATTTTGTTTAAAAATCACAATTTATAAATTAAATTGAAACACTTAATTTTAGTTAAAGAAAGTCTTATATTTATAATATTATTTTAAATTGAATAATTTAAAATAATCTAATTTAAACTTTTATTAAAATAAAATAAATTTAAAATTATTTTTATTTTATTATTATTTGTATTTAAAACTTAATTAAAAATTACTTATTTTTTAAATTATAAAGGTTTTTTTTTTTTTTTTTTTTTTTTTTTTAAGAAATTCATTTTAATTAAATAAAGATAATATTTTTATTATTGGATAAGCTTATTATTTTAATAAAGATTGATATTTTTACTTTATATATTTTTTATTGAAATTATTTGCTTAATACTGTAATAATAAATAATTTAAATATACTATCATTAATCAAAAACGTACGATTTTGCTACCATAATTGTAAGTCAGCTGATCATCCAACAAAAACAATGTTACACCAGTACAAAACATACCGATTTGCTAAGCCACCGTCACCGTGCGAGATGTTTCTTTCCGTTAGAGAATTAAAAGAATAAAAAAATTCATTTTTAAAAATTGGTTATTCGCACTTCTTTTTTTCGCGCCACATTGTGTGCGTTTATGAAAACGAATTTTCAATTTAACTTATATTATCACATTTATAAATCAAACTAAACTAATGACTTATCAGACAGAAAAAAGTACAGCCGAAGAAGACTCGGACATAATCGAATTCATAAATCGTAAATTAGCGAATTTAACAGTAAACTCTGACGCTACAGAAGTTCTTGGAAGCAACGACGGTTTACCAGTTTGTGAAGTTTCATCCTTGGTATGTTATGTATTCTTATTGATAATTTCTTTTTCTTGTATTAAAACAAGTAAATTTGGGTTGACATTTTACTCTTGCTTGTTATCAGTTACCACAATACTCACAGGTTATTATATCTGCTCTTCATTCTAAAATTACTGGGTTACGGCTTTCCGCAGTTATTAGACTTCGTAAATATTTATCGTTACGTGAGTATAAGTTTCTTTTCCCGAAAAAAAAAAAAAATTTTTTTTAAGTAAATTATTGATTTATTCTTTTTTTTTTTCTTGTTATAGAGAATGTTGATGAAAGGGTTGATAATGTCCTTGCGTTGAACATAATACCATTATTGATAGAATTCCTTGAAAATTTTGGGGATCCTTTATTACAGGTATCGTTTTACGCACGGTAATTAGTTGTTATTCTTTTCTAATTATAATTTAGAAATTTCATTTAATTTCTTTATCAGTATGAAACGGCTTGGATAATTACCAATATAGCTGTAAGGAATTCTTTATTTATTAAAAGTTAGGTCTTTAAATATTATCCTTGTATAGCTAAAAACATAATTCGCTCTATATAGGCTGGTTCTACACAGCATACTGAAGCTCTTGTTGCTGGTGATGTAACAGAACATCTTATAAAGGTTTTATCAACTTCAAACAACGTCGAAGTTCAAACACAGGTAACAATATTTACAAATATATGAATGTTCTTGTTAGTTTGTTAAAAATCTATTGACCGTTATTTTATTTCAAGATCATATGGGCATTAGGCAATATCGCAGGAGATGGCGCTGTATTTAGAGATATTATATTATCTGCCGGCGTATTAGACCCCTTACTTTATATTTTATCAAACTACAAAATATATGATTACATGGCCGTAAGAATAACTGTTTGGGCTACTGCAAACCTGTGTCGAGGGTGCCGTTGTTCGGATCCATCATGGTCATTGGTAAAATTTTTTATTTCGTTATAGTTGTTAATACTTAATAAATTATGAATGATATTTGATCGCTATTCTATGAAATAGATTACTCCAGCTTTCCCAATTTTAGCTAATATGGTACAGCTCAATGATGCAGAAATTATTTCTGATGCTTGGTAAGTTAACATAGTATTCTTTCTAGTTTGATTTTTATTATCACAATTTGTATTCGTCCTTATTTGATCTAATAATTTAAAAGTTGGGGGATGTCCAGAATATTGAACGGTACTCATAAGCATCGAGAACATGCTTTAGTGAGCGATAGTTCATTATGTCGTCGCTTGGTAAATCTTCTCAGGTAATAGATATTACATAATATCCTACTTTTTTTTTAAAAAAAAAGTAAAAAGTAAAAATAAAAATAACTATTTAATATTTATAGTGAGGAAAGTCTTACCTCTGCCGTTCATTTACCAGTGTTACGAACATTGGTAAACATCGCATCGGGAGCAGGTTGGTTAACTTTTAATTTTAATTACTATTATCATCTTATTATTAAAAAAAAAAGGAATAGATGTTGTTATTAAAATATTCCATTATCTGTTATAGAGAAACAAACACAAGCAGTAATAGATGCTGGAGCATTAACTGTGTTGACTACTTCATATTTATCTACTAAAAATTTGACGTTAAGAAGAGATGCATGTCTAGCTGTATCCAATGTAGCTGCTGGCACATATTGTCAGGTAGCATTTAATATAAATTTATGAGACGACAATTTTTTTTAAGAAGGTTCACTAACGTTTTATTTCTTTTAATATGAAAACCATTTATTATCTAGGTAAACGCTGTACTAAATGAACCAAGTTTGATGGAAAATGTTGTCGCTTTGCTTTGGGACGACGATGTAAAGGTTGTAAAGGAAGCATGTTGGGTTTTAAGCAACTCCACAAGTTTGCATGATTCTGGTCACATCAAGTAAAGTAGTTTTACATTTTTTTTTTACAAATGTCAATTGTAAGACTTAATGACAATAATTTTTTTGATTTTTGAAATTTTTTTTTTTAAACTTAAATTCTTATAGCTTAATTCTCCAATATGATATCCTTACACCTCTTCTTCATCATTTACGCAACTCATCAACACCTCAAGAAATAATGAACAAGCTTATTGACACTTTAATTAATATTCTTTCGGTTGGAGATATTTCTAGTTCTTCACCACCACCGTCACAGAATGCATATGCGGATCAATTAGCTGCATCAGGGTTAGTTGATGCATTGCTTACCGCCTATAATCATGTAGAATTATTGGAAACTATAAGAGAGAAAATTAGAGGGTTATTGGAAAGATGGTTCTATGGATATTTACACAGGGAACAAAGCAATGGTGAGGATGATGGATTAGATATAGCATCTATTGAAGAACGTGTTGGTAGATTGAGAATTAATATGGAAGGTGTTGATGTCTTTTAAATATGATAAACATAATATATATATACACATTTTTTGGTCGTTTATTTGAAAAGTTTAATATAGGACGAAATTTATCATACTTTTTGGTTTTTATTTTTATTTTATATGTATAAAATATCGTTTGTACAATTTAAACAGACATTTTAGTGCGATTACTATATTAATTGCTAAATTCAGTTTAAAAAAAATCCTCTATCACTAAAAAATACAGTTAAAGTTGTTATAATACACTACTTAATTCTTTGGACATTTAATAGTTCATGTGATTAGTTTATATTTGGTTTTTAAGTACTCATAATGTTGTTATGGGATGAATTTATTTAAATATATAATAAAAATGTTGGTTGAATGTAAATTAGATATACGATCCACTAATTTATTAAAAAAAAAAAGTTAAAATAATGAAGAAAAAAAAAGAATTGCAACATTATTAATATCAAGACTTACAGATATATGGAATAAAAAAATTTTAATACCATTAGTTAATGACAACGCAACTCATTCCTTATATATAAATATATATATTGCATAATTAAAAATGTACTAAAACATTCCGTTTCTTTTTCCCAGCAAATTTCTTTTTCCCAGCAAGCTTTTTCCTTTTCCATTGTTGATGTCTACTATTCCTTGGTCCACTTGTAGAGATCTTTGGAGCATCAGTATCTATTACCATACCTTTTTTTTTTTTTAAAAAAAAAAAATATATACATATATACATATACATATACATATACATATACATATATTTTGACAATATATTAATTTCTGTTTCTCCTTTAAAAATTATTGCCTACTACTCCAGACAAAACACTCATTAACCCTTCAAAGTTCGTTGAATCAATTATATCAGGATCGATCAATCCTAGTATTTCATAACATAACGAACCTGAAGTTATATCTGTTGTAGAGTATGTATTTGCGAGTTGCGGTGGTAATTGATCTTGTGATCCCTCCTTTTTTATTGACGTGGAATTCATTTGTTGTGGTCCAGCTGCCTGTACTTGATTTGCTGCAAGTCTTTGTGCTCGAGCAGCCTCAGCTGGTTCAAAGACAGACTGTCGTTTAATTGCACGGAAACGTCTCTTGACTTTACTACGCATGCTCTTGGCCATTTTGATCAGTATTCTTTGTTGCTATATAGCTTTAATAAAGTTTTAGTAGGTTTTTATAAAAAAAAAAGGTGTTCCTTAAAGCCTAAGAGAAAAAATAACTTTATTTCTTTTGAAAGAAAAAATTTTGCTACCCACTATTAGTAATTTTTAAAATATTTTAAAAAACTCCGCAAACGGGACGGCGCATTTATGGATCCCTGATATTTTTTATCAATCACGTGGTAACCATAATTTTTGATTATTAACAATTATTTTTAATTATTTTAATCGATATTTGAATATTAGTTGTTGTACTACAAGAGTGCATAAATGTAACATTCTTTTCCTAATTTAATAAAATGTATAAAAAAGTGTTTATACGTCAGACGTTTCGGATTTTTGTAAAGCTTGGAATGGCAACGCATAAAACTTCTTTAGGATTTGGGAATCCGGTTGTTCAATATAATTCGACTTTCGTGATTTAATAAAACGAGAACGAGCGTATGTTTCAGGGAACGCAACTCTACACCTTCAAAATTAACCAATCACTTAATAAATAATTTTTTTTTTTTTTTAAAAAAAAAAGAATAAGTGCAGTTTCTTGTGATGGTTAATTTACCGATCTCTTAGGTCTTGTCCGGTCCGATGCGTTAAATTCAGTTTCTGATCACTCGCAATTTTCGACCAGGAATTACCATACTAATATCATTTTACAAAAAAAAAAAAAAAAAAAAAAAAATAACTTGGTCAAAAAAAAAAATTCCTCTATCATAGAGAAATGAGGTTATATGATATCAACCTTTTCAACACCTAATTTCAAAGCATTATCTTCTTCGGGAGTGAATTTGTTTTTGGAGCGATGAGGTTTCCTTACGAATGTCAACAACTCTGATAACGAGTCATTATCATTTGATTTGTTTTTCTTTCTTTTCGCTTTCTTACCGTATAATTTTTCATATTCATTTGGATAGATCGTTCGAAATCTTGACAAGAATTAAAAATTGAAATATGAGAAATTTTTTCCTATGAAAATATCAAATTGAAATAAATTTTGTTTACTATAAAAAAAAAAAAAAAAGAAAACTACAAACCTACCTATCTTTGAGATCAACAGCTGTTCGATCCCTGGGAAAAGGGTATTTTGGATCGGTTAAAATTTTCTTCCAATTACCAACGCCGTGCTAACAATTCAATGGGTATGATGAAACATGAAATTTTTATAAAAAAAAAAAAAAAAAAAAAAAAAAAAAAAGATTCACACAAACCTTATAAAGTCCTTCAACAAGTAGGGACGTTTCGGTCGCACCCCATTTTTGACGAGCTTTACGCCTGTCCAGTTTTTTCTTATTCTGGTTTTCTGGCGAAGAAGAAGTATCGTAGTTTTGATTAATTTCCGCCATTTTTTTTTCTTTTCCTTCTTCACCTTTTTTCTTTTTCTTTTTTTTTTTACCGAAAGCTTTTGTATTTGAGGGAAGGTTTTGAAACTAATAGAAATTTCTACTTGCAACTTCGAAATTTCGTCACATTGGCACAGAAAACGCTTTGTTAACAAAGCTTTTTTTTTTAAATAAAAAAAAAAAAAATCACGAGATATTTTTCTAGTGTGCTTCCAATTTAGGACAGTTTATCGATGAGACTGATTGGATCAAAAAATTTTCCATTTATAGGAAACGTAATTTCAACGGTCGTCTTTTATTTTCGATTACAACAAATGTCTGAAAACGGAAAGATTATATTCGTGACGGTTGGTTCAACCGGGTTTGATCAAATTGTTCAACTTATTACGTCAACATCATGTCTCCAATTATTAAATTCTCAAGGATTCACCAAATTAATCGTTCAATATGGAAAAAGTCAAAATGCGTTTAATGATTCGATCCAAACGCGTAAGAATCGAACAAACGAAATTGACATCATCGGGTATGATTTTAAACCATCATTAAGTGAGGATATGAAAAATGCGGATCTGATTATTAGTCATGCCGGTATTGTTTATTGTATACCTGTTGTCATCAAATCAACTTAGCGTATCTTTTTTAACTTTTTTTTTTTTTTTTGTTCCGCTTATCGCTTATCGCATATCGCATAATAAACAAAACAATAAGGATCAGGTTCTATCCTAGAATCACTTCGTTTATACAAACCTTTAATTGTAGTAGTGAATGAGAATTTAATGGATAATCATCAAATGGAACTTGCGATTGAATTACAAAATAAAGGTTATCTTGTTTATAGTTCGATCAGGTACCTCCTTAAAAATTTTTACCGTTGACGAGCTCAAAAGAATTATTCTGATTTTTTGTTGTAAATTTCAAGTGACCTTTTGAAAGTTTTGAATTCGTGTACTTACGAACATTTGATTCCTTTTCCGGAACCGGACAAATCACTTTTTGCAAATGTTTTAAGTGAACTTTGATAAAGAAAAAAAAATTTTGGACAACCCTTTTTTTTTTTTAATTTGCGCAAATTAACGTTACCGATAACATTATTTTAAAAATTTATTAGGTGTTTTAAAACTATAATTACTCTACTAGTAAAGTACTTTTGGTTTGAATGCATTACATATATAAGAAGAAGTGCAGAATTTTGTTCATGCTAAGAAAAGAAAAGAAAAATAAAAAGGAAATTTTCGAAGGTCTTTTGTAAAAAAAAACGAAGTAATAACGTAAAAAAAATAATATGTAAAATGCGAAAATTATTAAAAGTCTATCTATTTGTAATGAAAATGTTCAACATTTACATTACTCAAACGTATTAAACGTGTCTATAATATTAAACTGGAACATGATGCGTATGTATTCTATAATAAAAAAAAAAATTTTTTTTGACCTTTGTATAAAAAGTTTTTGTGTATATATAAATTAGAGATGTTATATTAAAATATTTCCTAGCCCATTTGTCAACAGAAAATTTATTTTCTGATGACTTCATAATAATCATAATTTGCGCTTATAAAGGAGACCCGGTCCACTCATATTATTAATTAATTTTTTCTATCATAATTCTTTTAACATATATTTTAAGTTTATATATATATATATAATGTAAGTAATATTTTTTTCTTGAATATCTTTTTTTGTTTTTTTTTTTTTGTTTTTTTTTTTTTTTGTTATATTTTTTCTTAATGTGTCTATATAATATTTTTTCATTTTTTCATTTTTTTTTTTTTTTTTCGCCTACAAAACAAAATGAAAATAAAAAATTATTAATATAGAACGAAATACTTGACAATCATCGAGTTTTTAGATATAAGAACTTACCCGACCGGCGGGAGTTAAAATTCGGTAATACCGCACAAGGTTTAAGGCAAGGCCCACAAATCATTAGGATGGCAATGTTTAACGTGATATATGAGGCCACCTTTGCTGCCGTAAGTTTTTAGGCAACCTCCAATGCGGCACGCCCATGGCTTTTCACGAGCTCCGTTACCGCTCTATAAAAGTTCAATTACACCCATTAGTAAATAAATAAAAATAAAATGTGGCAATATAATTAAAATCAATAAAAAGACTGATTTGATATTCTTACTTGTTGTGCGTGACCATGTTCGTTGTGATATTTCAATCCGTTTGCATTTTTATATGCTTTCGGGCATCCATGAACGGAGCATTTGTAAGGATATATATCGGCTTCACCTCTATTCTGCACGACATCAGAGGACAAATCGGAAGAATGAATAGCAGCGGAAGCATCAGCGACAGATTCATCAGAAGGCTATAGATATAATAACATAATAATTAGTAAAGCATTATATGAAATAAATCGATTCGTGCATATTTGATATGATTATCATACTTTATTAGTACGTCGTTTTACTGATTTATTATCGACCGATGATGTGGAGGTGGCCCTTTTCTTTGATTTGATACCAGACGCACCAAGTGATGGGTCGGAATAGACATCTGACATTGCAACTCCTAATTAAAGCAAATAATAGGGTGTAAGAAGATAAAAGAATATCGATCTGATAACATATTTTTATAAGAAAAGATCCATCATACCGTTACCAGCCTTCGGTTGGATTCGCTGATATTTTGCCGAGTATTGCGTGGCTGTTCCGGAGCCAGTCTCTCCGGAAGACATATACCCTACCAGCGGGTAACCGTCGACTGAATTCACAGAGTATTGTGTGCCGGTAACAGAGGGCATATATGACGCCAACGCATTATTATCGATTGAGATGTGACTATAAGTTTGGGGTGCAGTTGTCGCAATGTTTCGCGCCGCCGCCAAATTAGAGGTAGATGAGCGTCTGAGTTGAGCAACGGGCCTATTTGAAGTTGTGACACTTCCTTGTACTAAATTTGACATATTAATAGACCTATACTGATGTTCATTTTGGGGCATCGTAGTTACAACTGGATGTGCTGAGATAATATTTGAAGTTGACGATCGCCTAGGTTGTAAAAAGCTACTATTATATCCATAAGAAATAGGGGTATTGGATGAATTTGAGGCTCCTTGATTAGATTTACTAGGATCAGAGCTCGATGATACTTGCTCAGAATTATATGGGGATATAGAAGAAGTGCGCCTTTGTTGAACATTGTTTGTCGCGATGGGCCTTTGTCTTGAATTATTCATGGTCGCATAAGATGTATTTTGAGTTGATGAGGACAGACGTCTTTGTTGAGCATTAATAGTAGTATTGGCACCATTGCTTGGTGATGGGACGAGTCTCTGCCTTGAGATATATGAAACCTGTTGGCCAGTTGTCGATGCATTGATAGATGGGGAGGTCTGCTGAGCGTTAACACTATTATCATTGTTATTATTAATTGACCCATAAGGGGTAGACGATGATGTTCTTTGAGGGCTCTTATCCTGAGGGTTGGCTTTAGATTTTGATGGTGAAACAGCCGCCGCTTGTCCTAAGTTTGAGATGGACATGACACGATCGTTTGAAATGGGGGAGACAGCGTCAAAGTTGTCATCTGAACTGACAGGAGAAGAGGCATAATCGGATTGTGGTGAGTTATTAACTAATAAAGGATCTTGCTGGTTCATTTGAAGAGCTTTTGAAGGGTAAGAATCATCATCAAGACTTGTTGACATGGACGATGACGTTTGATCCTCGAACGGGAAATTCGCATTGCGCAATGTGGAAGTATTATGATCATAAAGGTATAATGCTGCTGCCAACATGAAATCATTCTGGTCACATGAGTCCTGATTTTGACCAGTTGTGATTTGTTCGAGACCGTTAATATGGCCAAATCCATTAATTTGTGCGAGCTCAATTTGGTTATACTCAAATCCATTATTATTCAAGTTACCCTTCTGTTTATAACTTTGAGCAGTTTGGTTATTAACAGAGTATATGGAGGATAATGCGACAGAGTTGAAATTGCCTTGTGTACCGTTCTGATGATTTTTTTGTTCATGAGCGGAGCCATTCGGTACCGAAGTATTCAAAGAAGGTTGGATGGATGAAACAGACATCGAAATTGGCATTGAATTACATCGATCTGTGAAATTAGAAAGAAAATTAATTAATGGGACAGGCAATGGAGTCGGAAGGAATTCCGGCATAAAAATCATGTGACCTACACTGCGAGTAAACAGTATTTGCTTCGAGGGGAATTGGGATAACTGCACCGTCTTGCACGATCATTCCACGATGATAATTGTCCGCATGTTGAATAAGGTCGTGGAAATTTTGATGATCGATTCCACAGCAATTGTAATTGCGAGAATAGCTTGTCTGTAAGTTTGGATCAGAAGTAAGGGAGGAAGGGTACATTCCCACATTAAATACTGGGTAGGTTTGATCAAAGCCGAGGCCCATGTTGTCAACGTCTTGTGATAAGGGATTGCTATAGACGTCATCACTGGTAAGAAAGAGAGACGAGGGTCAGTTAATGTAAAAACCAAAAAGTCGTTGAGAGCTTATATTAATTTTCCACATTAAAATTACATGATAACTTTTAGACAACATCACGTAAAGTATGATTTCGTGTTACGAATGTAACATACTAACGGAAAATGTTGTGAATTACGTTTAAGATGTAATAATATATATGTATGTGTGTGGGGTTTATTTTTTAAAGGTATATGAAAAGTAAGTGAGATAAATAAACCAAAAGGGGAGAACAAATAATAGAGATCAAGGAAAAGAAAACGAATGCGAAACCAAATATAAATGACGTGTAATAAGAATTGAGTGCAATTGATTTCTTTTATGAACGGTTTCAAGAACATTAAGCACAGATCCGATGGAACACTTACTTTAATGGGTTTGACCTCGCGGTCGCAGCAGAAGTACCATACGAAGGACCAGAAGAACGTCCGTAGCCGCTAGTCGAGCCAGGGATAGAAATCGGTGACGAACCGGATACTACAGTAATCGAATTTGCGCACTCGGTTGCGTGAGGCATGTTAACGAAAAAAGGTTATTATATTATCTCGATCGATAATATAAAAGATCAAGAGCCTTTGTAGGGTATAAACTATGAATTAAGAGTCGATGGTTTTTTTGAACAAATAGTTAGAAAATCCTCTGCGAAGATGTGTAGAGATTTTAACGACGAACTCTTAAAGTGATCGTATGGATGCCCTTTTTTATAATAATAATTTACGATTGAAAGGGCTAATTGATAAATTTTAACGAATTAAATAGGAAAAATCGTAATGCTAGTAAAAGCTTGAAGATGAGAAAGGATTGTAATTATAAATCAGATGATATGATTTGGATCGTGAGAAAAAGTTCGTAAGGTTAGTAACTTTAAGAGAATTTTTTTTTGTTTTTTTTTTTTTTTCTGGAAAGTCTATAGTAGGTATTAGGGTTTTTTTAAAAGTATATATAAAATTTTTTTAAAAAAAAAAAAAAAAAAAAAAAAAAAATATTTTTATTTATTTTAATTTTTTTATTTTTAAATTTTTTTTTTTTAAACTAAAAGTGACGAAACAAAAGTTTACAACGTTAAGGACAAAGAGGTCATAGGAAAGGGGTGTAGGTAGGGTGTATGAAGCCCCAAAAATTTTAAAATAAATATATTGAAGTCGTTACGAAAGTCGTTAAAAAAGGTAGCAAAGAAAGTTGTTTGATAAATTCACAAGTGTCATATAAATATATGAATGCAGAAAAAAAAAACAAAAAAAAAAAATAAATAAATATTTGTGAAAATGAAAAAAAAAAATTAATTATACAGATTTTTTTTTTTACAGTATATTCTAATATATTGTTTTAAATTAAGTGTATTTTTTTTTTTTTTTTTTTTGGCTGAAATCTCACAAAATAACACATAAAACGTATTTAGCAAAAAACAGCACTCGGGGCAAAAAAAAAAAAGTAGTTTTTTTTTTTTTTGACATGTTTATTATTGTAGATTCATTATAAAAATTTATTTTATACAGGTTTTTTTTGATTTCAAAAACAATCCGATTAGATTCTTTCAAACTTTTTATGTATCATGGGCTTAAAATAAGCTACAATGATAAATAGGAAAAATCACTAATTAAGTTTTGGAATTCCTTTCATGGGTGCTTATTTTTCGATATTTTATTTATATGCAATTAATTTATTAAATATCAATTGACACAAATCGGTATTTACTAATTGGAATTGACACGTCATCAACCGAAATCGTCCGTCTTCAAAAAGTTGCGAAGGTGTCAAAGGTGCTGTACCAATCAACATATTATATATGTGCGTCATGTTTTTGGTCGTAGCGTGGGCATTAAACAAAGCAAGCTCGTAACGGATTTAGAATGTCGTCTTTAGGTTTTTTTTTTATTCTAATAATAGCCCGACCGAAATCACCGAGTTTCGGCAATTTACATTTCACGGGATGCAATATTTACACGTGGCATCCCCAGGAATTGGTCAACCTTTCAATAAATAAAAAAAAAAAAATTTCTTGGTTTCATAAAAAAAGAAAAAGATAAGAACAATTATTATTTATTATTAATTAAGTGTTTTGATAAACATAAATAAATTTGGTAAATAAATAATCAATTCCCCACTTTACCGTTTTTGGAAGTTCAAGATCTATGAAAATTATGTAACATGATTGATTCATGATTTCATTTTCTTAAAACATTAAATAAATAACTAGGTTATCTATTAAATTTAAAAAAATTCCCAAATTTAATTGTTTCCATTGTATGTTTGTTATGTGAAAATGCAAATCATTAATTTATAATTTATCGTAATTTAAAATTTATTTTTATTTTTTATTTTATTTTTTGAATTTATAATGATTGTTTAGTAATTAATTAAATTACATGAACAATACTTGAAAATCCTTTTTTCTTTTTTTGATTGAAATTTTGACACTTTTCTTTCACGGACTTCTTTTTCTCGCATGTTCATGCAATATACATTCAAAATAATCAAGAAATTTAAAGATTATGTCCAAAATCAGTCGATATTGATTAAATCTTCTTTGGAATCCATACTTCTAAAATTATTAAAATTTATTGGAAGGAAAGAATAAAAAAAAAAACAAACATCTGCATTATTATGGATGTCAACCCGAAACAGAAAGGCGTAATATCTCCTCATGGTAAGTGGAGATCACGTTATCCGCTTACCATTGGTGGCGAAATGCCGAGACAAATAAAATAAATAGTATTGTGTTGATTTAATGTGAATAAATGTACGTTTCATACAATTTGAATGGATGAAAAATGCAAACAATCCTGCATGAATTCGATGACGCACTTTCGCCCTTGATCAATTTCCTGATTGGTCAAATTTCTGTAATTCGAATGGACGAAATGAAAAAAGAATGAGAAAGTTTCGTATTAATGAAGTATTTTGACAATATAGTAAGGAACGCATTGTTACATTATCAAGTGTCATTAACATCTGATATTTATAATATAAAAAAGGTAAATTGGCAAATTAAATATCCTTTTTTATATGCCGACACGGACCAAAGAAATACCGATTTGCATTCCAAATTATACACAATGTCAGAAATCATTTGACAGTTAATGTATCACCACTTGTATTGAGGCGCAGCATACCATTAATAAGTCGAGGCAAAATTAGAAAAACCAAATATTACTGGATATAGATACGAAGTAAAAAATGCAAGATGGATTAGAATCAAACAATGTGTGATAATAAATTTCATTGTTATCAAATGACGTTTACTTACTTGGAATTGTTGTGTTCCTTTGTTTTTCCCCACTCTAGTAAGCATTATTCTTCATGGGCTGTAATGAGAAGAAAGACATTATGCAGCGGCAACAAAATGTACAACCACAAATACAACAAACATGTGCATCGCCGTAAGTCCGTATGAATCCCGCCGCAATACTAGAATGTTTCCAGCTGCACGATGGAATCTCAATCCACGGGTTGATACAGTGAAATAGTCTATTGGTCATACATGAACTGTACTTCAGATGAATTCAGTATTCCAACTGTGCAGCTCTCACATTATAAAAGTTTAACTTGCTTCACCACTTTGTTCATTTCCTATTCTTCATTTCTCCCCGCAAAAAAAAAAAAAGATATCAGGACCTTTGGGGATTTCCTATAATGTTTAGTGTGGATGCTTTGATACCACCAAAATCTGTCAGAAGCATAAACATGCACCAACTTAGTTTTGTACCCCATTTTCGAGGGGTTCCTTCATCCCTTTTTTTTCGAATTACTGCGGTAAATTATTTGGTAAAAAAAAATTATAACAATGACATCCAACTTGCTTATTATTATTATTAAAAAAAAAAAAAAAAGAAAGAAAGTAAAAAATAGAAAAAAGAATAATCGTAAAAAAATGCGCAAAGGAGTACATCAAAGCATGTAATTTAGCGTAATAAATTTCCCCACTTGAAACCATATTTTTTCAGTCCGCGTGGACAAATATCAATATTGATGTAAACAAATATGCTTATATGCTAATTTATGAATGTATGATTATGCAATAATATCATTTTGTAACATTACCGCAGCCCAGCCCATCACGGTAAACAATATTTTTTTTACAAACTTCACTAGATCGGTATAAGTGGTATTACGTAGCTCAATTCATGTCAATGAACCCTGAAAATCTTGTTTTACGCGGTAAATTTATACAAATTGCTCAAACAATTAACTTTTTCTCTTTTGTTAAATCGCTTCGTCTTGTCAAGTGGGGGGGGGGGGGGTTCCCCCCATACAGTTCGTATATCCAATCAATTTAAAGTATTACAGCATTGTTGTAAATCACCAATCAATGATTATCTATTATGTTTCGGGGCTTTTTATATTGACTAAAATAAGAAAACGTCTTGACTTGATCATTTTTCGAACTTACTGGTTTGGGTTATTACATTGTCTTAAATCGGAGAAAATTCGGGTTATTAATTGGATTTTTTTTTTACTTTAAAACAAAACGCAAGATAATCGACAACTATTTTTAACAGATTACTATTTTAAAAATGTTATCTACCACATTAGTGAATAAAATTACATTATATAACTGTTGTTTTCATTCAAGAACTTGTTTTGTTTAATTATCATTCAATAAGATATGATTATTATTATTTTTTTTTTTTTTGTAAATAAATAAATTACATCATTAAAGTTGGTGTGGAGTGCATAATGTAATTTGACTCAAATTTTCGTCGGCTAATTTTTGCTTCAACCGTAAAATGGAAAAAAAATTATTGTTCGAATCTGAACGATAATTATCATGCAGTAAAAAATCGAGTCCTGCAAGCATAAGCACTTGTTATGAATGGCAAGTAAAGAAAAAAAAATCAGATATAAGTAATGTCATAAATTAACATGTAATATCCTGCAAACTTTTACTCATAATGCGATTACGTACTATGGTAATTTTCTTAATTATACACTCACAATAAAGACTATTTAGGTCTTTACCGTCTTTTATAATCAATCATATGAATTTTTCGCATGTCATTATGCTTAATAAAACGCCAAACAGTCACAATCATGGAATTCGGCGAGATTTGGGGAAATTGAACCCAATTGGGAACAGCGATCGTTTCTGCAAGACGCAAGTTTTACTAACGCATGCAATATTTTATTAAGAGGAATTTAAAAAAAAAAAAAAAAAAAAAAAAATATTGAATTAATATATTGTATTGTTTGTTAAGTTAAAATTTTACTAGAACATCAATTTATCGGATTGCAAAAAGAAAAAAAAAAAATTATATATCGGATTTTTTAAGGCAACAATACTTGAATGAATTAATAATTAATGCTTTACTGTTTTTAGAAATCATGAAACTTTTTGATTATTCTTTCTCGTTTTGTTGTTTATAATTGTGGTAAGATTTTCACAATAAATATTCTTAAAATAACTATTCACAAAATATCTAAATAACATAATAAATTAATACAAATCTTAAAAAGTTAAATGAATATTAAATTTAATTATTTATTATCATAATTTTAATAATAATTATAACTTATTATTTCTAATTACAGTTTGTTTAACAAAATCAATTTATTACATTTAATTTAATTTGTAATAGCTTTTATTATACTTGTTAATAAGATTTAATTATAACTTTGTTATTTTAATATATCATTTATAATGCTAATTTTTTTAACCTTATTCTTATACTAATTTAATTTAAATTTTATATATACAATCTGACTCAATTTACTAATATTTAATATAATAATAATAATATTTTTTTCTTATCATATATAAATACAATGATTTTCATAATTATTATATTATTTAATTTAAAATTTTTAAATTGTTATATTTCGCAATTGAATAATTATACAAATAAAAAATTTAGATGTTTTAAAATTTTATGATTTTATTTTTAATATATATAAATTTTATTGATATTTATTTTATAATTTATCATAAGTTACCAGTGACTTAGATTAGGTTATAAGATAACTTCATAGTTTAATAATAATTTTATAATCCAATAGTAACTTCATGATCTAATAATAATTTCATAATCTAATGGCAATTTCAAAACCTAATTATATAATTTAATGGTAACTTCATAACATAATTATATAACTTATTGATGAGTTCATAACCTATTGGTAATTCTTTAATCCAAATTTTAGATTTCTTTATAGTCTTCTAACTATTGTTTTATTTAATTCCTACTATATTATTTTTGCATAACTCTTTAATCTAATGGTAACTTAATGATTTAATAGTAACTATAGCTCTTTGATCTAATGGTAACTTTATAACTGATTAGCTACACTTTTCTTCTTTACTTTTAGGCTTTTTAATATTAAAGAAGTATCTATTTATTTATATACTTTTATAATCTTTTTATTAATAAAGAACTTTCCATTTGTTTATCTCCTTTTAGATCTCTTTAGTTATCTGTTAGAATACCAAAGGTTCTTTTTTCCTACATCTGTTAATGCTCTTTTAGGTATTATAGTAATATAAAAAAGCATCAGGTGATGCAATAAGTCGATGTAAATCTGCAATTAATTTTAGCTGACACTTTAGCATAATTTCTGACTGATCTTTAGAATACATGATCTGAAGGATCTAAGTTAATATTATAGTAGTCCAAAGTTATGGTTGATTTGTTGTCAGTATATATATATTAATTTTATGTTCTGAAATTATAAGTGTGATATGTATTATCATATCTGGTCAAAAAAAATGCATTATCTTGCAATTTAACTATTGCTTATTTATTACTGATGTAATTATGCCAATTTTGTATCTCAAAGTTTGAATTATTAGAATACATTTATATTGTATTTCTAGTTGGTTAAATGCAATATGTATTACTATAACTGGCTCATTTATTTGCTAATATTTTATATAATAATTATGTAGAAGACTTCATGCTATATTCAAGTATCAAAGATAAGTCTTTTTTTATTATTTTTATAATAATTATGAAGAAGATTTATCTGCTAAATGTATATTCAGTTACCTTTTATTTATGGTTTACTGATTAAGTTCATTATCGCTTCTTTATGCATCTATTAAAAAAAAGAGATGTATTATTATAACTAACCTATTTATACTTTTTCAAGTATATACTAGTGATAAGATGAGTAAGTTCCATTATTTTATCTAAAGTTTCTAAGGTTGCCTACCCTAAATGACATATATACCTGAATACATATTAGTGATAGGTAGGAAAGTACTAATATTTATATAATTGATTATGCACTTGCCTATCCTAAATATCATCTATTAAAAATATATTTATTTTCGTTTCTTTTATCAACCTGCTACTATGCATCAAGTACATATCTAGAAAATTATAAGTCCTTTGCTAAATATTTTTATATAATGATTACACAGTAGACTTATTTTCTAGATGTATATCCAGTTGTCACTTATCTGAATTCATACTAGTGATAAAGTAATCAAATACTAATATTTCTGAAGAAGCCTTCATATTATACTTAGGTATATATCTAAAAAGAATAAGTCTTATGCGAAAGCTATATCATACCTAAGTACATATCTAAAAAAATAAGGGCTTTCTTTCATTTTTTTAAATAATAAATTTAAAGAATGCTACACTTTTAGATATATATCTGTTTATCTTTCTTTTATGATTTGCAAATTAAATTTAATATCGCTTCTTTTTTACATCTATTGAAAGAAATAATTAAACATTTCTAAATTTTATAAACCTTTTTGAACTAATAATATGCATATCATAACTATTTTTGACTAATCTGATCACACTAGAACTAGCTCTATCTTCTAATTGTCTATTATAATAGTGCTGGCTCTTTAGCCAGTATTTTATCACATAATAATATTATGACAGAATTCATTAATGGAATGACTACAATACTCTAACAATACTTATTCACTAGCAATCTATATATTTTATGCTAACGAATGTGAGTAATGAAGTCAAATATATAAATGAAGTGTCTACTTATATTTTATGCATTACTAATACTTTGATTAATAGGTAGAAAATATTGTGAATATTGCAGAAATCAAACCCTTCTTTAATGTTAAAGTGTCAGATAACCATTTTTTATCTTCATTTAAAACAAAATTAGCATGCATTTTATCTATTACACTCAAAAGCACATTAAAATTTAAGTTTAAGAACATTTGTACTTTTTCACTTTAAAAATACTATACAAAAAAAAAGCATATATCTGTGTTAGTATTTGAAACTATTTTAATTGATATAATATATTAAAATAGTTAATATTTATACTACATCTAATGATCTAACTTCTAAATATTATTATTATGAAGTAGCCTATAAAGAAAGATTGACTCTTTCTAGTTGGATAATATTAAGCAATTATTCTTATGTACTGTTAAAAAATACTTATTTCTTTCAAGTATCTGTGAATAATTACAATATAATAAATGAGATTGATTATAATAATTTATTATTTTTCTTGACACTTTTATAGGATCATATCCTTATTTTTA